ACAAGGGGAAAAAATGAGAAGCAAGACCTGTCATGTAAAGGTACAAGATCCCAATGATGAATGTAACTGTACTGTATACCTAAAATGTACCAGTAAACTCAATAAGGGAAAAAAAAACTAATGATGCACAAAAGTGATCATGATAGAAAAAAGCTATTTTCAGTGTTTCCAAATTGATTTAGAGAAAGTGCTTATTTTAAACTTATTTTCATTTAAATACAGAAAAATGCTTTAATTGATATTGTTTCATTGCATAGTTTCCATAACTGGGTACAACTTGTTCTAAACTAATTTCACAGAAAATTTAGAACCTAACCAGTACTAGATTATTAAATGTTTAATCCATTCCAGAGCCAGGCATGGTGGTGCACGCCTGTAATCCCAGCATTTAGGAAGCTGAGGATTCCTGAGGAAGCAGCAGGATTGCAGCAAGTTTGAGGCCAGCCTGAGCTAGCTAGTGAGTTCAAGATCAGCCTGAACTACATAGCGATACCCTGTCTAAAAAAAAACAAAAATAAATTCATTCCAACAGTTTCTTTTAGAAAAAAATAAACTTATGAGCACCAATTTGGAAGTCTTCACTCTACCACCATCACCACTAATATCATCATCATCATCCCTTTCCTAAATGAAATGCTCTTTACACTTTTGGCTATTAAATTTGTGCAGTTGGAATAGTGCACATTTCCTAAAGCACCAGTACCATATTGTACTCAGTATTATATTATACTGTGTTATTGAGAATAACTATAAGATTTTGCAGTTAGGAAATTGACTGCTTCAAGTTGTAACATTTGAATTACTTAAATCGGGTATCATCTTGGCCATTTTCAAGTAAAGAAAACTGAAAATAGTTGTGTTTTTTCTTAATAGTTGTGTTTTGAAGCTAAAATTATGAATCTTTTATGTTTAAAAATACTGTATTATGAACTTTCCAAAATTTTTCCCCGTGGCTTCTGCTTTGTATTAATAAATAGTGTGTTTCAATGGAAAAAAGGCATCAAATCAAAGACTAAAGTTGTGGAGTAACGTGCTATGATTGATATATTAGGCAAAGTGTTGTTGTGCTTTACATCTGATAACTAAATTGTGTTTTCTCCTTCACTAGCCACATTTTCCATAAGACATGCGTTGACCCGTGGCTGTTAGAACATAGGACTTGCCCCATGTGCAAATGTGACATTCTCAAAGCTTTGGGAATTGAGGTAAGCATTGCTACACTATTTATATGAAAGAACTTAAGGAGTATGTTATTTATGTCCCTGGGCATCCAGGAAAATAACTTCTTTTTTTAGCTATGTAATGTATCAGGTATAAAAGTTCATACCTAAAACTAGACATATTTACGTTACAGTGGTGTGAGGTGCCATTTTGGACCATTTCTATCTTCCTTCTTTCTCCTCCTCCTCAAATGTCCTATTGATTTGGTCAGAATTGGATGTGATGGACCATATAAACTACCAACTTGGCATTCCCCTTTCTATTTTTCACTCTATTATTGCATAGAGTTATTGCACCAAATGTCTAGTAAAATGGGCATAAGAAAGCATAATAAACATCAAATTATAATTTTATATTTGATAAATAAAAATGTATTATCAAGATAAAACAAAAGTCAATCTCAACAAAATCTCCATGACTTGCAGCAATACATATAGACAACAATAATTCTCAGTTCCCCTAAGGGACAGCATGGTATATATTTTTTGAATGCCTACTTTGTACCAGCCATTATGTTATGAGGTGATGGCATCACCTAAATGAATGTATCAGATGGGAAACCTGTTGGTGGACCCAGTTACTACAGTTTTGACTGGTACCAGCAGGAGATTTTTGTGATCATCAAAAGCAATTATAGGTTTCAAAGCTTAAGAAACATTGATGTAAAAGTCACCAATGAAGAAATTTTGTAATGATATATCAAGGAAAAATATGTACTTGGAGAGTAATTTAATTTGTTCAAATGCTTTTCAAAGGTGGATGTTGAAGATGGGTCAGTGTCTTTACAAGTCCCTGTATCCAGTGATGCATCCAACAGTGCTTCTGCCCATGAAGAGGATAATCGCAGTGAGACTGCATCGTCTGGATACGCTTCAGTGCAGGGAGCAGATGAACCACCTCTAGAGGAACATATGCAATCAGCAAGTAAGCAGCACCGTATGGACTGTGATCTACAGGGGACACATCTGTTTGAGTACTCCTGTTTTTTAATCTATTAACACATTTCAGTTTTTCTACATAAAATGCAATGAAGGATGCAACCGTACCATAATTTGATGCATATATATATTCAAAGATGTATAGGTGAAATAGATGAGATGCACCAGGAGTAGGGACTATTCATAACAGAAAGATTTATTAGAAAGCTTCTCTCTGATCCATTTAAATGTTGGCTCATTAACTACTTATCGAAGCTAAGGAGAAACGTTGAACTTTAGAAGCCATTGCTTATTACAAATAAATCAGCAAGTAAAATAAAGGAGTCCTGAAGTGATAAAATGGAATTTGATTTGTAAAAGCTTGATTTATGCCCAGCTTCTCAAGAACCCATGTTCTTCAGCTAGGAAACTATATATAAAAATGGTATGTGCTGCCACCTGTTGACTAATTATCATGAAATGAATAAACTGTTAGAAACTAAAATTGAATATGTTATTTTCAGGATTCATGTGTATTAGCATTGCAGTTTTTATACCAGTGGAGATATGTGCCAGAATTTTGTTACTCTTTTCCCTATGAAAAGAAAACTATATAATTATTTTCCTTTTCTTTAACCATAAACTTTATCATGTTTTTTTTTTACGTTGTTGTTAAAGGTTTTTTTCCCCCTCAATCCTGATTTTGAGATTATCATATGTTCGCATAAAACTAGAAGAAACTAATAATCAAGCTGGCTTGTAAAAGATTAAGCATCCTCTAACATAAAAACTTTTCTGCTTAAGGCTTATCAGTTCCATAGATACCATTTCTGAAGATGGTACAAGGAATATTATCATGTAAACACATCTTGTATTTCTTGGAATCTAATTACCTGATGTTTCTTTTAATATAAAGTAATAATTTGTTGAATAGTCTGTCTATAATAGAGAATCATCTATTTTCCCCAGATGATCTTGTGCTTCCATGATTGTGTGGTCATAGAACTCGAATGAAGATAAGAAGAGTATAACAGGATAATTAAATTTATGCTAGTTTTTAAAAATCCCAATCTGCTGCTTTTGTGTTCTGTTCATGTGGGTGTAATTTGGGAGAAGAGGATAAACAGAACAGAATTTGAAAAAAAAATGAAAAGATTCATGTTCCTCTTTTACTCTTTACCTGAATAAATCGTAGTAATACTCCAAACAAGAAACTATGGTTACCCTAAAGTTTTCCTCTCCCACTTCCTATTGATTTTATATCATTTTTTATAAATTCTGTCCCCTAATTTCCAACTGTAATTTCACAGTCATAGCTTGACTATGACTCTACCCATTCTTTCCACTCATTTTTTCCCAAGAAATTACCTGTTTCTTCCACTTCCTTTCTCTATAAGTTGGTGAAACCTACTGTCACTTCTATTACCCCTTTCAGTATTTCCCCTCACTTGGGGCCCTAATAATTTCACAAATAGTTCATGTCTATGTATCTCATCATTGAGGTAAGTTTTAAAGAATTCAGGTCTTCAAATTTAAGCACTCAGTAAGTCACATGGAGGGCTTGTTAAACGAGAGGCCACCACCAGGGTTTCTGACTCAGTAGGTCTGGAGTGAGGCCTGAGAATTAGCATTTCTGCTCAGTTTCTTGGTGATACAGATGCTGTTTGTCCAAGGACTGAGAACAATTGAATAGGCTCCTAGTTGTCAGCCCTGGTTGAACATCACAATCATTTGGAAAGTTTTTAAACATTACTGATGCCTGAGATCTACTTCAGAGAAGTTAATTCAGAACCATGAAAGATTGGACCCAATCATAGGTTTTTATCATTGTGAAATAATTTAGATTGATTGACAAAAAAACATTTAAAAATAGTACAAAGAACTTCCATATATGCATCACCCCACTTCTGCACATGTTAAGCCTTTATATAACCATATATGATGATTAAACCCAGGGAATTAATTGATAAAGTATTATTAAACTACAAACCTTTCTTAAAGTTCACAAATTAACCCACGAATGTCCTTTATCTGTCCCAAGACCCCACGTTGTATTTAGTTGCCATGTCTCCTTAATCACCAGTCTTTGAGAATTCTTCAGTCTTTGTCTTTCATGGCATTAGCATTTTTTTCTTTTTATTGAGTTTATTGGTACAATCTAGGTATACAATACAGTTACATTCATCATTGGAATTCTGTACCTTTACATAATAGGTCTTGATTCTCATTTTTTTCCCCTTGTCCCTGCCCTCCCTTCACTCCCTCCTCCCCTCCCCATTTACAAACACTTTATTTCCATTTTTTCAGTTTCTCATATTTATTCCCTCTCCATTATTACCTTTCCCCCACCCTTCCCACTTTCCCTACACGTTTAGCCCTTTACTTCCTATTTCACATTATTAATTATCTCATTAGGATCCTGTGTACTATTATAGTTTTTCACACCAAAGAGACTATTCGGTATTTCAGTTAAAGAAATCTCTGTATGAACATTAAAAATAGGGAATCCTAAAATAAAACTAAAAGGAAAGTAAAAGAGAAAAGGCAATGATATAACATTAAAGTAATCCTTAATTCTGGAGATTAAAATTGTCCCTGATCATATTTAAATTGTATCTTGCTCTTATAGTCTTATCTTATTATTTTTTTCATTATTTAGAGAATACTTTATTAGTTTCTGTAATCAAACCCACATAGATATGACCTTACATATTTAGTATGATGTGTTACCCCTGTATACATGGGGAAAAAATAAAAAATAAAAATAAAAAATTAACATTTCTAATAAAAAAGCATGGTGCCAAGTACCACAACAACAACAGAACTTTGCTGTTTTCTGGATATTATTCTTTTCTTTGTTTTTGTTTTGTTTTTTTAATGGCATTAGCATTTTTAAAGAATATTTATCAGTTGTTTTATGGAATGTCCCTCAACTTAGGCTTGTCTGCTGTTTCCTAATTGTCAAATTAATTGGCTGTTCCTGGTAAGAATACCAAAGATGCAACGCTGTATCCTTCTCAGTGCACCATATTAGGAAGCACATGATGTTCTTGTCTTATTACTAATGATTTTAACTTTCCCCATTTGGGTAGGCATAGTATCTGTTGAATCTCTCCCTTTGAAGTTACTATTTTTCCTTTTGTAATTATTAAATATATTATGGAGAGATACCAGGAAACTTTGCAACTATCCTATTTATCAGTGTTCCTTTGCTCACTCATTTTAGCAATTACTGAAGCTTTTTGCTTGTAATAATTAGTATTGAAGGGCTTGCCAAATAGTGATTTTCTATTTCTGTCACTCTTTCTGCATTTATTAGTTATCCTTTTAATGTAAGGAAGAGCTGTTCTTTTTCTAATTGTTGATTGTAAGGCATCATAGATACAATATTTCTTTCATTCAGTATTATTCTCATGATTTACCCATTGCTCATATTGTCCTAGATTTGGTCATTGGGAGCCTATGTAAATTGGCTTCTTTGTTCTCTCAATTTCTGTCCTTTCTGGTACCACAATATATTCTAGATCTGGAATTAGCATTTTTTTCTGTAAAGGGCCAGATAGTAAATATTTGAGGTTCTGAAGGCCATAAATCTCTGCTTCATTGTGTGTGTGTGTGTGTGTGTGTGTGTGTGTGTGTGTGTGCGCGCGCGCATGCGTGTGTGTTTAGGAAGGGGTTGATTTGTCTTTTAACCTTTTAAAAACATGAAAACCACTTTTAGCTGTTGATTCATGTGGGCTGTAGTTTCCTGACCCTTAGACTAGAATCGAAGTTAATCTTGAATGCTCCTTGTCTTAACCCCACAATAAGGCATTTCTTGAGGGGGCTTTTTATTGGAGAATGGTATTTCAAAACCAAGATCTGGGCAATTTGGATGCTTATTGCTACTAAAATTTCATTGCTATTGGTCCCTAAAATGAACAAGGCCAGGAAATACATGTATGTACTCACACAAATACATACATTTACATCTAGATCTTTATCTTCTATGTGTGTATGTATCTATCAATCAATCATCTCTGAAAAACAATGAGGTCGTACTGATACATCTGAGTCTAGTCCAAAAATCACAGGGTTCATTCCAGTCTCCCCTTTCCTTATTTATAACTCTTTGTCTAATGGTGAATGTAGAAAGGCTTTTGTTTTTGTTTATGCCAAATATATTTACTTAATTGTTCAATTCTAGAATATACATAAAATAGTTTCAACATTGCTAACTCATTGTGTACAACAATTTTACTAACTAGTATGCACTTCTTTTTGTTTTAAGCCAATTAGGATAAAGTCAAAATACTGTTTTCCAAAGTTATTTTGATTTTGTTCTTACCTTCCCTACCTTATTTACTTTGTTGTTTGTTTGTTTGTTTGTTTGTTTTTCCCCAGTACAGGGATCAAACTCAGGACCTTGTGCTTGTCAGGCAGGCATGATGCCACTGAGCTACATCACCAGGCCCCCTACCCTATTTAGGATTTATATATTTCATTTATAATATAATTAGGTCCATTTGTTACCATTTATAATCCATATTGTGCACTCCCTCCTTACTGGTTGATTTTTTAAATCTATTTTAAAACCCTATTTCAAATCTGTTTATGTATGTAAAAAAGCACTGGTAATTTTTTAAGTGCCCAGGGGATAATAATGTGCAGCCAGGCTTAAGAACTGTTATGTTTAGCATGCAGAAGAAGTAAAGGATGTAACTTTTGCCCTTAGAAGGTGATAATCTAGGTAGAAGTAAACACACATAAATGAATTAACAGAGTAATTATAAATCAATGTATTAATATCATTCACGCTTTAAAACAGAGCATAAATCATATAATTATTAAAAGAACAGATAATGTCATAAACAGAACATAATGGGATGAAATAAGAAAGGCTTCTTGTAAGTGAATATTACATTTTGTCTTAAGACAAGGGTGAAATAATCCAAAATTTACCATTTCTTTTTAAAGATGAAAATCTACAGCTGGTAAACCATGAAGCAAATTCTTTGGCAGTGGATGTTGTTCCTCATGTTGACAACCCAACCTTTGAAGAAGATGAAACTCCTGCTCAAGAAACTGCTGCTCAAGAAATTAAATCATAAAATGTGTGTTATTAAATCTGTGTCTATTAGAAAACTTGAAATTTAGTAATGACAGGACTGCCAATCAGGGCTTACTTTACTATTAATAAAGTGGATAAACTTAATAAAATAAAAATGATACTGAAAGTGCTGAGATGACTAATACTATACTGTAGTTAAATGGCTTCTTTAACCTGTTAACATTTTTCCACAAATACATTATAATGTTTTCATAGGCAAACTTCTTCTGAATAGCGATAGCAACATTTTTAAACATTTAAGACTGTCTTCAAGTAGTCATGTTTTTTATTTATAACAATTTTCTTATAAAAAACATGTTGCTTTTAAAATGTGGAATAGCTGTAATCATTTTATTTTATGATAGTATCTTAATTGAAGATAATACTACTTTAGCTTGGGCTATCTGTGTCAGGGTTTTTCTCCAGGTGCTTATATTGATCTGGAATTTTAATGTAAAAAGCAATGCAAACTTAGGCTAGTTCTTCATGAAATGTCTATTGAAACTACATTAAGTTGATAGAACAAGATTAAAGCAAAATATTTAAATGTTTTCTTTTTAAAATTAAGCTAAATGTATTTCATGTTAGTGTCAAGCATAGTTCATCAGAGAATATGGGCTGAATTGATTAATATATTAGTGACACCAATTTGACACAAGATTATAGACAAAAAGCTCTGTTACAAAAATATTGTATAACTGTTTCTCTAATTTGTGGAATTTTCAAAAGCACAGTATATATACTACCATACTATTTGGAAATGGTAATGACAAAGTGATACAAAAATTGCTAATTGATCTTTATGCATGAATTAGTCTAAAGAAAAATGTTCTGTAAAATTAGTCTATAGATAATGTTTTCCAAACAATGTTGACTTTGAAAATTGAGTTTACATTTGACCTATATGGGCTAAATTTACATTGAGCTAACATTCTGTCCATGTAGCTATAATTTTGTGAATGCATTTTTTCTTTTTTGGTGTTTGAAAATGAAGCGGGGGTGGGAATTCCAGGTGCCTTAATATAAAGTTTGAAGCTTCATCCACCAAAGCTAAATAGAGCTATTTAAAAATGCACTTTATTTGTATTCTGGGTGGCTTGATTTTATTTTAATTTCCAGTCCAAATTCCAGCAGAATTTAGACAAAAAAAAAAACAGATGCATATTTTTGTTTGCTGAATGTAGAATGGGTGAAACCATTGCATTCTTATACACTGATTTGAAATGCTGTAAGTATGGCCCAATTTGTATTGATTCTCTTTAAATATAAAATGTAAATAAAATATTCCAATAAAAGTTGTGTCTTGTGTTTCATTTTCCTATCGTATACTAACTTTCCATATATAATATGTCTTGTTTTGAGAGAAAAACTAGTTGAATATAAATGATAATTGATATATTTGATTAATGAAAAGTAACACTTTAATATTTATAGGTTGCATCATGTAGAAAAGAAGTGCTGCCATTGCATCGCTAATCTGACCATGAATTAGTTCTAGAAGTCAGCAAACTAAATAATGAAGTTGACCAGTAATATTACATTAAAAGACCTAGATGCCAGTCCATATTTATACTATTCATGACATAAGAATATTTAAATATTTCAAAGTTGTATTTCAGCCTTTTCTTTGGCAGTATGAGCATTAGGATCCTTTTTTAAAGCATCTCTTTCCTTTGTCAAATGTGAAAAATATGCAGAAACTTGTAACATCCCAGAACCACAATTATCAAGCCAAACTTAAACAAGTCTTATATGATAATATACCAAAGTCATGTGTGTGATACTTATATTTTTAGAGAATTAACTTTACTCAAGCTTTGTGAGGGTTAACTTTTTGAATTTTTAGCAGCTGTATTGAAGTCTAACCTACATAATTGCTTCTGGGCCTTTTGGCTAAGATCAAGTGAAGTATAACCTGCGTAAAAATTTATTCATTGTAGATGTACAGCTGGATTTTGTTTACCAGACACAGTGTATAGAGTATGCCACAATCTCCAGACATACTCTCATACCCATTTTCAGTTAATTTGTGCGCCCATTTTTTTTTTTTTTTTTTTTTTTAGAGGCAGGCAGTGGAACCACTGAGCTAAATTCCCGGCCCCTGTGCTCCCATTCTTAATTTCACACCATTACTATTCTGTTTCTATAGATTTGCCTATTCTGGACATGTCATATAAACAGACTCATACAATATATAGACTTTTGTGACTGACTTCCCCTTAGCATAACACTTTCAAGGTTCCTCCATATCATAGTTTATATCAGTAATTCATTCCTTCTCATTGCTGGGTAATATTACATTGTATGGCTACTCCACATTTGGTTGGTCATTTATCAGCTAATGAACCCCTGGGCTTTTCCAAATTTTTGCCATTGTGGATAATGTATTTATATACATTCATGTACAGTTTTTTGTGTAGATGTGTTTTGGATGCTCTTGGATATATACAAGATTAATTCCATGCCACGTATAAATTGTCTTACTTCCTGCTACTACCGATAGACATTTTTTAGCTTCATCATCAGACTTTATATTATACTCTTACATGATAGTCAAACTATAAACTAATTCTTTCAACAGTTGCAGTAGGTAATATTTGTATCAGGAGTCTCCCAACTTATGAAGGAGGAGTTTTCTCAGTATTTGTAAGTTTATAAACTATAGTCAAACTCAGGCTATATTACCTTCAAAATATAAATGGTTCTCAGGTAAGGAGCAAAACTATATTTATAGAGATAGTTTGCTAGGGACATTCCTTCTTATTCCACATATCTATTTTTTGTTCATTTATAAAATGTTTTAAATTACAGAACTTACCACATCAGCCTGTAACAAATTTTGAGCTATTTACTTTGCTCATTGCTTCTATTTGTAGAAACTTTATCTTTTAAGCATATTAAATAGTATAAAATTTAAATTAACAGTATAGCATAAGAGTAAATATTTCATGATTATAGTAAGTACTTTGACCTGTGGATATAAATATTAATTATCCTCAACCATCAGATCCAATTTGGTGAAAGATCTGAAAAATACTACTCAGTAATTGTCGACATTTTTCTATGTAAACATAATGTCTCAAATGTGCGACACTCATAGGCATACCTAGACTTTGATCATTAAAAGAGTAGTGCAGAAAAATAGGGTTTGGTACTGATGGTTAGTGGCTATTTCCCTTTCTAGCTATAACTCCAACTAATGTTCCAGTTCTCAACCACTACCCCAGAAAAATTTAATGAACATGTCCTGATATAAACACTTTTTAAAAAGCAATTCAATCATCTAAAATTTATTAACAGATCTTTTTTATTTTAAAAGCTGCCTATGTGAGTCTTAATGGAAATATGATTGATCGCCCCTAATTTCTAAATAGTGTATTTAATTTGCTTTAAATCGGTGCATTTAAACTTTCATGTGCAGGTCTAGTATGGGGTCTGACAGTCTGAATTTCTAGCAGGCCCTCTAAAGCATACTTTGAGTGGCAAAGCTTTAAATGGGATCTCCCCCAGAAGTACTCCACAAGTTTTGAAGTGTACTGCTTCTATACCTACTATACAGTGTACAAAAGTATCAACTAAGCTACTGAGCTTCATTTTTTTTTTTTGAGACAGGGTTTACTATGTAGTTTAGACTGACCTGGACTCACTATATAGCCCAGGCTGGTCTCGAACTCACAGTGATCCTTCTGCCTCAGCCTCCCAAGAGCTGGGACTACAGGCATGCACCACCGTGCCCAGCTTTAAACTTTATTTTAAAAGCCAGTAAACTCCTGAAGGGCAGCTTCAGCCTTTCCATAGGGCTTGGAATTGGTTTTGGGGGATTTCTAATACATTTTCTCATAGATGTTCGAAGCTTTAATTTAGAACACTGAATGAACTAGATATTGACCGCTGGATAAGTGAGATATTATTCATCTCTGCATGGTATATTACAAGGTGCATAATATTTGCCTTGGATTAATCAGAAAACAAGAATGGAAGCAGAGAGGTGAGCTGAGAAGCAATTGTGATAGTATAGCAAGGAAGGAATATGGGGCTAATCTAAAGCCATAATAGGAGGATGGGATGGACTTTTGAAAAAGAAGCACTGGTGTTTGCGTGTGCAAGAGAGAGAGACAGAGATAGGGACAGAGAGACCAACAAACTGGTGGAGGTGGGGAAATAGGAACCAAAAAAACCCTGAAAGTATTCCAAGGTTCCTAGCTTGAGCATCTTGATAAATAGTAGTGCTTAGAACTAATAGAGCCTAGTAAGAGAAACAACATCAAGCACAGAGGATTTTGGAGAAATAAATTTGGCTTGGAGCTATTCGTGGACCATGTGCATGAACAATATAGTGTTTTGTAGTTAGATAAATCTAGGTTCCAGGTTCAAATCCCATTTCTGCCATTTTGCTTAGCTGTGTGATCTTAGAAAAGTAACTTCTCTGAAACTTCATCTGTAAGTGTTAAAAAATGTATAAACTTAATGAAATTAAAGAATACAACATATATTAAGAATAAGTACAATACTAGCAATGCTGGTCAAGGCAGTTTACAATCCCAGGCCTTCTCTAAGCCATTTATATTAACATTCACAAACAATGAATAGAGTGACATTTTATTTTTAAAAGTGCTTTCAGAGAAATACTTTTATTTGCAAAGGCTTGAAATGGATTGTTTATGATCAAGCTGAAATTTTACATAAAAGAAGTAACTTAATTTGAAAAAGAATGTATTTTCTTTACATAACATGAAATGTTTATTTACTAAACAAGAACTCTCTAAATGCCCTGCTGTGAACCATAGGTAGGCCTGATTCCACAACAGAAAGCATGTGGGTAGCTCTGAATGGAGTTGCAAGGTAAAGAGGCAAAAAACCCATCCAATTCTGGACACCCCTTGCCACAACTATAAAGATTTTGGAAAAGAATGTGGTTTGATGAGGACAGAAATTTAAAAGGGAAGGAAAAGGAAAAAGAAACAAGGACACTAAATGTGCTGAAGTCTCTTACTGGCCTCAGTGGATGAAGTGAGCTGATAGTGTTAATTCAAATTTAAGAATTATCTGAATCTTATTAGAAAAGTGGACAGCTTTTACAGTTCCATGTGTGTACACAGGCTCCCCCACATCCATTAGTTACTGAACTTTGTAAACTGGCATTGTAACATTACAGCAATGCTTTGTTGGACCAATTTTATAAACTTTACAGTGCAATACTTGTTACTTTTCTGAGGCAAACCAAAAGTATATTTCTCAAGGTTTTTGCTGCCTTCTTCAGCAGCATTTGATGGATCTTTTATACAGTTGTAATAGAAAAAAAAACAGATTGCAAATTCTTTTAAAAATCTTAAACCATGTACCAACTTTTTGGTTGAAATTGTGTAGGATAAGTTAAATTGCATTCTCTTAACCAATATGAGTGTATTGCTGTAAGCATAGTTATGTTGAAATAAAGTTGTGAAAAGAAAAAAAAAGAAACAAGTACACTTCACATCTCTATATTTGTAGCATTTACTTGTCTTTCACCGAGATTAGAAATGATCTTCCTTAGTATACATCCAAATTAGGATGGTTTTTCCCAAGGATACACTGTAGTCTGGGCTCTAGGAGGATTGCCTGTTCCCCTACTCTCCAGGGGGGCTGTCTTGGGACTACTTACTGTCTTTTAATAGAACAGAATCACACATTGCTCCTTTTCCCGCCACAAGAAAAACTTTCGCTTGTAGCACACACTTGTTTCACTAGAGATGACCCACATCTTTTAGGGTTAAACCAAAGAAGCTCCTTCTGGACAGAGTTTCTTGGCTCCACAACTTGATATCTGCGTTTGCCCCAACCATAGAGGTGATGGTGGTGGTTGTGGTTGTCATATGTCCCTGGGGCTTCTTGCTCAAAACACCTGCCAAGAATCCCTCGCTTGTACGTGCCTCCCAACTCCTTCCTTTCTGTAAACCTAATTCCGCTTTTGACGCACTCTTTAACTGGGAGATTGTCAAGTGTAATAAAGGAAAACCGCCCTCATTCCTCCCAGCAATGTCATGCAAATTAATGACCTAATTCACCTTAGTGTTTAAGCTGCGTAGCACTGCCAGGATAGAAAGGGGTGAAGGCTACCTTTAAAGGTTTTTTTTTAAGAACTTTAAAGAAAACTATCCTGATAGGTTGCTTAGATCTAAAAGGAAAGTTGGACTGGAGATTTCCCCTGGTTTATTGCAGTGATCACAGAGATAAGGATGGGAGTGAGGAAAAGAAATGCATGGCATGAAGAAAATATATGGCTTCTGGAGATTCTGTTCTTTGTGAGTTGAAAGCCCAATCTTGGCAAGCATTTTGAATTAGATAAGAAATCATATCACTGACTGTGTGACCTTGGGTAAATCACCGTACTAATTAATGCTTTCGTTTATTAACATGAAAAATGGCAAAGATCTACTTCGTAGACTTCTGTGGGGTTTACTAGAGATCCGCTGAGTACTGAGCCTAGTTAGCGTTAAATGTTAGTTGCTGCTACTGCTGCTTCCAGGAATGAGTAATTTCTCCAAAATTCCAGAAACTTTCTTGATGGCCTTGCTGTAAAAGATTGATAAAGCAAGTAACACCTTATACTTGGGGTTCATTTATTTTAACAAAAACAATAACAACAACAACACTTTGGACAGGCAGAGCACTTAACTGGTGGCAGAGACAAAACACTTAACTGGTGGCGGGACCGGCTTTGAAAGCTTCCCCCAGTCAGAGCTCGCCCCAATGTATTGTGGGAAGTGTAGTCTCGAACTGCAGTTGCGAGAGTACAGAAAAGCGAGCAGAAAACTACAACTCCCAAAGGAGTAAAGGAGTGGGGCTATTTCCCAGTCGGGCGGTAGCACTGTGGGAGGGAATTGGCAACCTCTCTGCCTACGTGGGAGAAAAGAGAGGGTTGGGGGGAAGTGTGGAAAACCTGAACCTGAGCCGCTGTCGCCTAAGAAAGATTTGGTGGAGGAGAAGTAGAGGGGAAAAGATAGGTTGGAGGTGAAGTGAGGAGGGCAAATAAGTCGCTGCTATCCGGCGACGCAAAGTTCTTCGTGATGTGGCTGAAGCCTGAGGAAGTGCTTCTGAAAAATGCGCTGAAGCTGTGGCTGATGGAAAGGTCCAACGACTACTTCGTTCTGCAAAGGCGTCGAGGCTACGGAGAGGAAGGCGGAGGGGGACTCACAGGTAAGTCGTAGCCAGCTCCAATTTCCTCAGGATTGTGTTCAGTGTTACTTAAAAGGTGGCGAGGAAAACAGTTACTCATCGGCGCCCGCCGCCAATCCTAAAACCTGGGCGGAGGGACTGGGGTTCTGCTCCTGCCACCACCTTTTTGCCTTCACCGAGTCCTGGGAAAGCAGCGCTGGACCTGCAGGTGCTTTGGGGTGGGACGGAGGAAGGGAGGAGGGATTCTTTCTGAGGCACAGGAAGAATCTGAAGCGTGCCCCATCGTTTCGCATGGGGGAGGGGGCTGATGGCGAGGGGTCGAGCTAAACTGGCTGCCTTTAGGCGACCAGTTCTCCATTGTGGATTTAACTTTATTTTTTCCCCACAAAACCTGTACCAATAATCACCACCCTGGGGACTGTAAATATGGGGGGATGTTAAGAAAGAGGCGCCCCAACCAGGTCCTGTTAGGCTCTAAATGACAGAATTGGGGGAGCGTTGGTGTCTGGTAAAATCGAAGAGTAGGGCTCCGAATTGCTGACCCCTTCTAATTTAACATCTTTATTCTATGACCAAGTTTTTAGTTCCCGGGATCGCCTATCATACTATGTTATTATAACGTCCACATACATTTCTCTGGAGTGTTTGGCTTTGCACCTTCCTTCAAAGCCACGGTTTAACCAAACCAATTAAACAAACGGAAATGCAACTTTTCCTCTCTAACCCACTCTGCCCCATATTTAGATTTAAAAATTAAGAACTGTTTCTTGTCCAGGTGTCTAAACTCTCCAAAGAATGTAATTTTCAAATCGCCCGTCATAGGCACGGGCATTCAAACTTACAAATGTTAGGGAGAGAAAAGTTCTTTTTTGCGATAATTTCTGATCTTGAATTGTTGGGCCAGGCTTCCTTTAGGTGGTGTAAGGAAAAAGGGAAGAGCCCTCAAACCCCCATTTCAGTCCCCTCCTTATCTCTTGTTTTATGTCATTTGTCAATTTCTTTCACTTTAAGCGACTATTGTGTGCTACAGGAATGTTCGGATAATAAAATAATGAAGATTCTGTTCCCTGCCTATAAAAATGCCCATACTAAGGAAAGGAGGGTGGAACAGGAGAGGAGGAAAGACTCACTGGTAAACCAGGAAAATTATAATTAGAACCAAATGACAGAGTTGGGTTAAGGTTCATGGAAGAGTTGACATTGATTTTTCCTCCTCTGTAAACCTGTGCCCATCTCACAGAGTTGAGAAGGTACATTAAAGGTAATAGGCACGGATCAATGTATATTTAAATGGTGATAAACATGTGCTGTTATTCACTTTTTTCAAGCCACCTCCAAGGTGGAGAGAATTCTGAGGTTCTACAGGATTTTTTTTCAATATTGCAAGACCTAAGTATCTCAGGCTCCTTCTAAAAGGTTTCTTTTGAAAATATACCAACGCAAATTTTCCCTAGAAACTTGACATTTTTGTCATTTTCTGATTCTGTTTTTGGGGAGGGGGGTTGAGACAGGTTCTCACTATGTAGTTCAGACTGCTCTGGAACTCACTGTGTAGCCCAGTCTGGTCTTGAACTCACAGCGATTCTCCTGCCTCAGCCTCCTGAGTGCTGGGATTACAGGCGTGCACCACCATGCCCGGCCTTCATTTTCTGATGCTTAAAAATGACAAATGTTATTTTGCAGAACAATTTCCATTTAATAGATGCATGGTCCAGGGATTTAGCTCAGTGGTGCTGCCACCTGCCTCACAGACACACAGTCCTGAGTTCGATCCCTGGTACAAAAAAAAAAAGTAGACGCAGATTTTTTTTTCTCTTTTAGTTTATTGGTACATTTTAGGTAGACAGTACAGTTACATTCATTATTGGGATCTTGTACCTTTACATGACAATAGACAAAAATATTTACTAGGTTAAAATTGGAGAAAAAATATTGTTCACTGTCATGTAAATTATCCATTTCAGTCTATTGAGAATAGGACAGGATATATGTACTCTTTAAAATAAATCTTACAAGACCAGGAATTTAGTTCATTGGTGCCAACACCTGCCTCTCAAGCGCAAGGTCCTGAGTTCGATCCCAGGTACCAAAAAAAAATCTTACAGCCAGCCCTGTGTTACAGCCTCAGAAGTAGTCTTCTAATAAATATATTTTGATTCCCCATAATTTTACTTGACCAGAATTTCTAGTGGTGCTTCTGCCTACATTTACCAAGAAGTGCACTTTACTTCATACAACTGTGTTCTTGAAAAATAATAGGTAAACCAATGAGAATCAAGTCACTGTAATGCAGTATGTAGTGGTGTTTTTCTTGTTGTAAGTTTCTTTTATACATACAATCAACCAGTATTTTCTGCACTTTATTTTTTTCATTTGTGGTGTTGTCTTAAATCACAGACCAGTTATATCGATTTCTTTTCTCCATCCCACCCACCTTTTTATTATTAGTTCCCTGGCTCTAGAATGAGAACATTTGAAGACATAAACTAAGATTTCTACCACACTCATATGTTGTGACTAGTGATAGGCCCATTGATGGAGTGGTTATTTTGTATCTCTGCATGAGTATTATAATACCATGTAAATTAAATTACAAATGGATGAGAAAGTAGCAAAATGATTTTTTTTTTCTACCAGGGATTGAACTCGGGTCCTTGTGCTTTCAAGGCGGGCAGTGGAACCACTAGCTAAATTCCTGGCCCGCAAAGTGATATTTTAAAAGTTTGATTGTTTTTGGTCCAGAGCAAAAGTGTGTCCTCATTTTCACTAGTGTTCTTCTACTGTATTTTTACATAATTGTAACACCACAAGTTTTGCTATGTTTTAAATACATCCACACTTGGATTAGTTCTTACAAGAAATTGACTGTGTGCCAGTATAAGCATGCTTTTGTCCATTTTGTTCGTTAAAACAAGTGTTATATGCTACACCTTTATAAGATTACTTTATATAGTTTGTTTAATGAAAAAAGATAATGAGCATGGAAATGTTAATGGTTGTACTTTCTTTATAATTTCATTTCTTCGTCCTGCAATAATTGGCATTAACCACCAGCAATGCAGTGACTTTAGGTATGAACTTGATGAAGTTAGTTGACTGTTTTTTTTTTCTAATAGTGGAATAAGAACAGCTGAGAACCCTGTGATGATTATAACAAGAGTCTAGTTTGGAAGTCATAATTCTAAGGTCCATTTTCTAAATTTTTGAAACACTTCTAATAGGTGGATTGCCGACCATTTACCTAACTTTACCTTGCTTAATTGTCCTAGCAGAATAGAATATTTTGTGAAAATTTTTGGTACATATAAGGCGGCTTTTTAGATAAAGTGATTTTCCTTCATTTAGAGAAACAAATGGTTTCATCTGGTGAAAGCTCATATTGCTAATGGACAGTTGTGGAAGTACTATGGATATAGTAAGCTGAAAATAATGATAAAAGTCATTATAGTGTTTACCACATTGCTGTACAGCCATCACAGGATTTTATATTGCCTTATTTTATTTAGAAAGTTTGCCCAATTTCCTGCCTTTCCCATTGCTATATAAGTACAAAAGACAATACAAAATCTCAAATGTGATGATAAAATAATACATTCATTTGGCAGGTATTTACTAAAGGCTTTCTAAAAATCAAGCATGGCTTTAGGTACTGGAGATAATACAATGAAGAAAAAATTCCAGTTCCCATGGAGCTACCTTTCTAGTTGCAGGAGGAAAATAAACAAATACTACATGATATGACTGGTGATGTTAAGTAGTATGAAGAAGAATAAAATAACAGAAAGGAGAGGGAATTGGTATTTCAGGTAAATTGGTCTGACAAAGCCTCTTTAGGCAACATTTGAGCAGAAACCAGAGGGACTAGAGTATATGAACCAAGCATATAGATGGGAACAAATAGAGATAATTCTAGGTAGACAATATTGTTAGCCTGGTTTTGTCGATGTATATATCTCCACTAATAAGGAGATATTACAAACCCCCAGTGCAGTTTTCCTAGGCCAGCTCTGGTGTAATGTATGTTTATTAGAAGTCCTGATAAATGATGTGCACATTTCCTAAAACAAGTGATTAATAACAATAGGTTGTGTATTAGTGGCAGAATTTTAATATGGCATTTATGGAGCATCTTGCCAAAAACCAGTTCAGATTGTTTTTAACTAAATCATCCATAGATGAGCATAACAATATCTGGGAGGTAATTTGGTAGGGAGAAGTGGGAAGGACATTATCAGTGGGAGATACAATGTGATAATTCAAAAACAAAAGATGACAGTTGTTGGGGACACAGCAGATATTACAGTTTTATTTATTTGGCATTGAAAATAAAAGCCTCAAGAGATAACATCCTTAGCAACTAGAAAAAATGGTTGTTGGGACAGCAATATCCTCATTTATACCAGAGGAAACCTTGAGATACAGATTTAAAGGGTTCTAAGAATTGAACCTTTTTTTTCCTCTCTCTCTGCTCTGCTCTTTCAAGTCTGGGAGTGTAGGGTCTCTGTACTCCAGTGTAAAGAAGTGAAGCATTTTTGTTTTTGTTTTGATTTGCTTTTTTTCGGTACTAGGAATTGAACCCAGGGCTTTCACGCTGAGCTACGTGTGCAGTACCTTTTTAAAAAAATTTTTTTTAATTTTGAGACAAGGTCTCACTGAAGCTCTGAATTGCCCAGACTGGGCTTGAATTTATGATCTTCCTGCTTCAACCTCCCAGAGTGCTGGGATTATAAATGTGTGGCACCGCACCTGACTAAATGTAAAGTTTTAAAGCAAGGAATAATTATATTTCCTGTTTATTATTATTTTAGTTCCTCTTATTTTAAACTAACCAAAACAATAGTCTGGCTCAGTTCTAAATAATGTTGCAAAGTAATACGCTGCATATGAGTTTGTTCTTTGCTGTCATACTTACTTGTTTCTTTGCACCTAGGAATTGAGTGGTTTTTTTGTTTGTCCCCGCCCGCCTCCGCATCCTCCCCCTCCCCATTCCCCCACCAGGGATTGAACTCAGGACTTTGAGC